AGACGGACCGCATGTTGCAGTCAAGACCGACTGCAATATGCGGTTGCTCAGGCCGAGGGTCTGTATTGCGAATATGAATTTGCTGCAGATCGTTCCACGGCGGCGAATATTGAGCATCGGTCTTGAGCCTGCACACGCATTGCGTCGTCTGTGGCCCGCTTGTCGTTAAGAGAAAACGATTTGTGTTATTTAAATTCATAAAATTCTTCGATAAAACCGATTATTATCATAAAATACTTCGTGAAATTCTTTACATTTGCTGGTCGCGATATAAATCACATCTTTATTAACAGTACTTTGCGGCCTGATTAATCAGAATTTGAGAACCTAATTTTCCCAAAAGTAACCTGACAATAGGTTATAGCATATATTTCTTTGGCTTATTCCCCGACTATATTGTCCACGGAGTATTAAGCAACGTATGTGTGTGAAGCAAATTAGCATTTGTAACTAGTTCAGATTAAGTACTACATATTTTCTTAACTTGTGATAACAGACAGTAATGAGACATTATAATGACTTTATATAGAGTACAATTTACAGCAAATTTTGGGAGTGTCTTTTAAACTTTCGTATTACATTATTTTTTAGAATATTGTTTCTGATATGGTGTTTTATTTAACAAAACTGTTTTATGATTTTCTAATAAACGGGTCTCTATAAACACGGTACGAAAAACTCAATACCAATTACTGAACATCAATATGATTAAAACATGCATCACGATATCGTTGGTAACACCAATATAATATTAATAAAAAAAATAGTTTGAATTGTAATTTATTAGGCTTTTAATTTTTTGCCTATGTTGTATATAGTGGCGTTTTAAGTAATGGATTTATATCACGAAGATCCATCGCCAGAAATTATTGTAAAGATAATTCTGGTACTTCTTAGGATTTCAGTTACTCTACAGTACAAGTCTGAGCCTCAGATTACTAAAACTGGTTCGTGGTCATTTGTTATCTATCTAATAACCTTTTGTGTCTGACAGACACCATTTTTGGATCTAAGGCATTTCCTTACGATGTTTTCCTTCACTATAGGATAGTTACATGTGAACATAGACAGAAAGTCGATTAGTGCTATGTCAGGGTTCGAACCTATGACCTCAGGGATGAGAGCCGCATGTAGAGTCCACTAGTCCAACACACACACAACATGTTTTACACACTACACTAATGTCATATAAATTTGCGATTACCAATACTATAATTAAGTAAAAAAAAGGGTGCGTGTACTTATGTACGCGCGTAAGAAGTTATACTTTTTTTTTTTTTTTATAGAACGGGGGCAAACGGGCAGGAGGCTCACCTGATGTTAAGTGATACCGCCGCCCATGGACACTCTCAATGCCAGAGGGCTCGCGAGTGCGTTGCCGGCCTTTTAAGAATTGGTACCCTCTTTTCTTGAAGGACCCTAAGTCGAATTGGTTCGGGAATACTTCAGTGGGCAGCTGGTTCCAAATAGTGGTGGTGCGCGGCAAAAACTGCCTTGAAAACTACTACTACTTTTGCATTATTATAGTTTTTGATTGCATGCAAATAATTAATTACAATTAAATAATCAAAGACTGGAAGAGGAGTCATTATAGTCAATAAAGTTCAGTTTACATTTGAAAAATTAAATAAATAAATATTTATTATTATTCTCTTACATGAAGTGTAACATAAATTCTATTATTATTCGAATGTTGTTTTTAAATTATATCTAATGCCGTAGCATCTTCCGTGGGCAACTTCACTCTGTTAATTTTGTGTCACGGTGCGCGCGCATCGTAAAGTTTCACTCTCATCAATTTTTCATAACGCGCCTAAAGAAGTATAACTTCAAAAGTATAACTTCAATAATAATTTTGGGAATTCTGTACCTAATTATATCTTTAAATATATAAATGGTATATTTAGTGCAACAGTGATTGCCTAGATTAATGTGTGTTTATAATTTCTTGTACGATGAAGGAAAGCTTTCTAAAGAAAGATACGGAATATATTAAATTAGCGACCTTGTTCATTGGCTTGCCTACCTTTCTACATGCATAGAACTGAGGCTAAAACCTTAACAGATTATACCAACACTGGATAAAACCAACACTGGATAAAACTAAAAACACTTAGTTCAAAGAAAAACCAGCAAACATATGGTGACTTATATTTAACAAGCCTTAACTCTGCTAATAGCAAAATTAGTTTACAGCTTATTGCTAGTTGCTTATTAAGAGGCAGAACAAAATTTCGAAGCTTATAGACATACAATTTGAACTGTGAATGAATTTATGTTGATTGTTTGAGACGTTTGGATACCTTTTTATAAAGGCGTTATATATTATGTAACCTTTTTTTTAAGGTTAGATTCATAGTCGAGACTTAGGGCAAACTTTGATTCCTGTGTGTCGAAACCCAATACGTTTCTCATATTTTTTCTGTCTAATAATATTTGAGAGAGCAATAGCTCAGATACATGTCTTTATATTTATATTTCTTCGACTACTTTTCTTATCAAAAACGTATGCAATTTTATCCTAAAAATGTGTGTATCGTTTTCATGTCATGATAAAACAAACATTAACAAATCTGGTCTGGAGTTGCACTCTTTTTGTATAAATTATTAATCTATTATTTCCATTATTTATGCGTTTAATTTTTAGACATTATTGAAATATAATAAATTTGTATTATTTATATTTTAAATGTTTGTATATCTATTTTACATAATATGTAAAATAGGTTCAAACTATTTTACATATTATGTATTCCTTCTGTACAATTTTCTTTGGCTATATCTTTAGTGTAATTGTTTTTTGTTAAATATAATATATGGATGTAGGATTACGAAATAAATAAATATACGAAATTTACAATAGACTTTAGTACATTCACCTACATCTTTTTCCTATAGCAGATTATTTTTATAAATAGTGAAATTATCAAATACATCCTTCGAATGATCATCCTTTGATCTTCTATCATCACCAACAGAGAAACATAAAATCGCTCTCTAGACACAATACGTTTTCGCAAAAAGCATTTTATTGCAATATGAACAGTAAATAACATCTAATATATAAAATTCTCGTGTCGCGGTGTTTGTGGTTAAACTCCTCCGAAACGGCTTGACCGATTCTCATGAAATTTTGTGTGCATATTGAGTATGTCTGAGAATCGGACAACATCTATTTTTCATCCCCCTAAATGTTAAGGGTAGTCCACCCCTAAATTTAATTTTTTTAATTTTTAGATACATTTTTGTTTTTTTTTATGATACAGCTTTAAAAAATACATACAACCCCTCTACAATCAACCCCTATTTTTTATTATAAATGATATACATGGCAAAACGACGTTTGCCGGATCAGCTAGTTAATATATAAAATGTACCTACAATATATTAGCTAATGTGCTTGACGTGCGCTGCCAAAATATTGTAGAAACAAGAGCATCGTAGGCGCACATCACGATCAATTTACCTGATAGCCTTAGGTGTACTATTATGTATTATGTAATAAAATATTGTAAGTTCTTTTATGAAGATCATTACCATTTCTGATGTACTGTATTTTGTAACGATTTGAAGGCTGATTTTTATGGCCTCTTGGGGTCCAATATTCAAAGTAGTATTGCGGTACTCAGAGACGGTAATAAAAAATTATTTATTTCGTATAAGTTGTACATGTCTAATAGAAAGCTGATAAACAGTATTTTGTTTCTCTAGTTTAATTATATATTACACTAGCTGCCCCTGCGAGCTTCGTTTCTCCTTAAAGTGATTTTACTTAGCCTACCTTTTTAGTACATACCAACATGGAACATTTTGCTATGCTACCCCAGAGACTGTTAGGTTTTCTGGAATGAAAACATTTTAGGTTTTTCTGTGATTTTTTCTCTATATAAACCTCAGAGTTTAAGTCATAAGATTTTAATTAACAAATAAACAATAAGGATTGATCGTAGAGGGTAGCAAAAAATTTTTTTTAAAAAAATAAAAAAGTATTTTTTTTGGGGTGGGCACCCCTTATCACTTACGGGTTTGAAATATGGATAGTAGTTTAAGACTTACTGAATATGCATAAAAATAATCATAAGGGAGCGTTCTTTTGTAAAACGTTACGATGCGGGGCGGGGATTAAATTACGCGTTATTGTTCATATTTTTTTTTTCGACACCACATAATAGTAACTAAAGAGTCACTAGGTGGTCACGAAACGTTTTACTATACTTGGGTACAGTACTGTATCTGGGTACTGAAAAACGTTACGGCGAGTTACATGGGGGAGTTACATTATCTCCAAAAATTGCGTTACGTGAAACTTGAACGCTCCCTAAGAATCGGTGGAGCCGTTTCGGAGGAGTATGGGAACGAACAGTGTGACACGAGAATTTTATATATTAGATAATTCAAATTCAAAATCATTTATTTATTTAGGTAAACATATTAAATGCTTCTAAATTTTCATTTACGTTGTCAACTGTTGGTCCGAAATTATCTAAGATATTATATCTTAGATAATTTAAAAAATAACTATGACTAGCCTTAGCAATAGAAATCAATTGATAGGTCTCAAAATACTGACGTTCTTACTAGTAAACTTATTTGTCAACGGTAGGTTTAAAGTTAATTGACAAAAATTTATAAATTTATCATAGTTTAAATACATTTAAATTCTTATTTTAACTACAGTCTCAAATTGTCAACTCCATTACCATTTTGACAAACACGAATAAACGCTTTGACATGTTCAATTAGCTTAAAATATTTCTCATATCCAGAAACACGACGATCACGTACGATTCCGTCAATACAAAAACTGACATTGCGAAATCCTACCAGCGAATTCATAATTTCAACTAATGGTCTTCTATTCACAAATACATAATAAAATCACGATCTCGTCATAACTGCAACAAACAAAAGCTTTCATAATGAAATCGAATGCGGATTGCGCTGAAATTAATTAAGCCGAGTACCCTTGAATTGACTGACGAGGTCGGGTCCAAAAAACTATGGTAGCTAATTACTTGGCCACGTATGTGATATCTTGGAGTTATTGCATGACGTCAGAGCACGCGCAAGATGTATCAGGATTAGAAGCAGGTCATTTGGTATATAATAGGTCAGATTCTTAACAGAGTCACAGTTTTGAGTGAGCCTCTGTTTAGGTACTACACTTCCAAGAACCCAAAATGAAATTGGTAACGAAATTTTGCTTTGAATATTTTGACTTTTATAATATTTAATTTGTAAAGTTTTTTAACTTTACAAAATAACTAAGCCAGCAGTAGACCTGCTCCATTTTATAACAATCTACGCATTTCAGTTTTTGATTGCCGCTGTCATCGCTGTATCTTCAGCAGCACGTCTTGAACATCTGGAAAGGTCCTACCTTCCACCAGACTCCAACTCAGTATCTGGAGGCTTTGGATCCCACGGGTCCAATGGATTCGGATCTGGTCACTTTGGCGCTAGTGCTCGAGGATCCCAAGGAGGTTTTAACGGAGGTAATGCTGGGGTGGACAGTGGCTTCTCTGGATCTCTGAATGGATTTGGATCAAGCAACAACGGCGCTGTCGACGGTTTGAAACAATACTTGCCTCCTCATCAATCTGGATCTAACTTTGGTGGATCTGCTATCAAACGTAAGTATTTTAATTTTTATTCATATGCTATCTAATATATAAAATTTTCGTTCCCATACTCCTCCGACACGGCACGACCAATTTTTATAATTTTTTTATGTATATTTAGTAAGTCTGAGAATCGGCTACTATCTATCTTTCAAACTCGTAAGTGATAAACGGTGGCCACCCCAGTTATTTTTTTTTTTTTATTTATGATACAACATATAAAAATACATACAACCCCTAATTTTCACCCCTCTACGATCAACCCCTATTTTTTATTAGTGTAGATAGTTTTTTTTTATTGAATTAATAAAATGTTACCTAGAAATAATAATATACATGGCAAAACAAACGTGTGCCGGGTCCGCTAGTCCTCTATAAATTTATGTATCATCCATAGTACAGATGTTACATGAAACAAGTTATAATTTATGGACTCTACGGTTATCAACGATAATTTTGAAGTTAATCAATATCGAAATGAATCGTGAATTAATTAATAATATCCCTGTACAGCTGCTTGCTCAACATGTGGATTCGCACGTCAACAGTCATTCGGAGCCCAGGTACCAAGCACTCAGTATGGCCAGCCCCAATTCGCTGCTCAACCTAGCAACCAATACGGCCAGCCCCAATTCACTGCCCAACCTAGCAACCAATACGGCCAGCCCCAATTCGGTGCCCAACCCAACCACCAGAGCCAGCCAATCGGCGCCCCGTCCCATCAGTTTGGATCTAGCTCCCAAAACCAATTTGGTGCCAACTCCCAATACAACCAGCATCAATCAGCTCCATCCACCAACGGCTTTGCATCCCGCTTCGGCCAGGACTCTGCCGCCAGCCGCCAATACTTGGCACCGAAGACTCAGGAGATCCCTCAACAGCCATTTGACGAACAAACTGGTTACCAATACTAAAATGTATGTAATGTATCTTTCAATGTAAATAAATGATTGAATATTTAAACAACGCAGTATTCTTTACGCGAAAGATTTTTAATCCATTTCTACATTAGTTATTTGATTTAAAACAATCTGGCTTCTTTGCTTATGGCATGTTATTTATTGATTAATATAAAATAAAACATTATAACGTACGAGACAACACGGTAAATTCACATTTGTATATTTAAGGACTTGTTAAAAATTATCCAAAACAATTTAATATCTCAGAGGAGACAAATAAAACTGTACTGTATTGGTATAAAAGTTATATCAAAACTAGCTGTTGCTTACTGCTTTAATTTAAATAATTTATAAATGTTGAATTCAAATTTTGCGTGAATTTAATACGCCTATTTAGTTTTAGATGCGCATCATTTAATAACTGGTTTAAATAAGATTTAGGCTTTTATACGCGCTGTGTTTAGTGAACATGTGTACGGAGAAGCAGGCAGTGAATACAATGTCTACAAATTTATATTACATTAACATGCAACAACTCTGGCAATATAGTGTTCAATATTTAGAGGCCCTATTAATATGATTTTAACAATTTTAACAGCAGTAGCAGCCCTCATACCTGAGATTGTAGAATTGAAGTCCGGCTGTGTTTTGTAACCCAGAAACTCGATTGCGTGTGTCAGGCACAGAATGCAAGTCAAGGCCTATTAAAAAGACACTTTTCAATGTCAAAATTACACGTTATATTAAAAAAAATGACTTTAGTTGCTCTCTAGTTACTCTTTTAAAATAGTTTTTACAATATTTGTAATCATTGATTTGATAATTAAATGCTGATCACTAAGCCTATTACAAAAAAACAAATGATCACGAAACAGATAATGTTACAGAAACTTAAATGGTTGTAGTGCCATGAAATTTTACAATCTTGTAAAAGAAACAAAAGAACTATAATTTATTGTGTATTTCTTCATTTTTATGACTGAATATATCTTGGAACTAGACTACTTGTATAATGTTTAGCACAATATTATAAATTATAATAATAAAAAATAATATGTAATAATTTGAGCAGTGTTGGCCTAGTGGCTTCAGCGTGCGACACTCATTCCTGAGGTCGTAGGTTCGATCCCCGGCAGTGGACCACTGGACTTTCAGTCTATGTGCGCATTTAAAATTCACTCAAACGGTGAAGGAAAACATCGTGAGGAAACTGACTCGCCTTAGTCCCAAAAGGTCTGATCATCTACTTACCTATTAGATTGACAAATGATCATGAAATAGAAATGAAAATCTGAGCCTTCTGCCATTGAGAGTGTCAATGGGGGCGGTATCACTTAACATATGGAGCTTCCTATTGGTTTGTCGCCTGTTCTAAAAAAAACGCAATACTAACCACATTCAATTGTCTTCTTAAATAAATTTTTAGTTATATGCTATTTAAAGTTAAAATCAAATAGCACTGTTGCTTTTTACTATCTGTATCCGTACAGCAACAAACACCCTACCTTTCGCATTAAGTTTCCGGTTAAATCGTCTTGCGTGTAAAATTCCTAAGTTATCAAAGCTTAAAGTTTTTACACCCATTTGGTGTATTCATAGTAATTGCCCGTAAGTTTTCGCGGTCAAGTTGAAGCTTAAATACGGAACATTATTCAATTATTTAAGGTGTTATAATTTGACGTTTCGGCATCTTCAAAATGAGTATTAATTACATTCAATGAAGTAATTAATTAAATAAAAAATAAAAATTACTTTTACACGTTTAAACCTTCGGTTATTAAGATTCTGTCAAAAATAAACGAAATGGTAACTACTAGATTTCTTTTGCCATTTCAATACAAGAGTAATGTCGAGTATAGGTAGTATATTCCTTAAGCAAAAAACTTCGTGATTAAATAGAGTGGCGGAGAGTAAAATTGATATGATTTGATTTTCTACAGGCCAACAGATTTCGGAATGTTTCATCGATTTTCCTTAGAAACTAAGTGTGTGGTGGCTTCAGAGGTACAAGCCATCGATATGTGACGTTCTAGTTTCCTTGGTTTTCATCTGTTTATTGTTAACATAAAATAAATAATAATCCCTTAGTAAACAGCCCTCGTTCTGTTTATGCGCTTAATTTTCATACCTTCCAGCACCCGTACTCTGTAACTTAGCATAGTAATATGAACAGCAATATGAACAGCTCTATGCAACAACAAATATCAGTCCAATAAGAATAAAAATACAAATATAGTATATAAGGTCAAAGATTGTACTGATCCTACAGAAAGTTAAATGTTGTCAGGGACATCTTCAATTGTTTTAATATAGTAATTTTATAATTTTTATTATTATTTTGGCGCATATAAAAGCCTGATTTTTTTAAGTATGTCACAGTGCACTTGTTTACTTTAAACAAACAATACAAATTATATTTAAAATGTTCAGCTTGGTGAGTAAATAAAATAAAGTAAATTTTAATACATTTATGTTTTTATTTTTTAAGAAAAGCCAATATTACGATTTGGTTTGAAAAAAGCTCCATTAAATTTTGGCGCACGTCCGCGTGCGTCTATTTTAATATAAAATTTTTCAGTATTATTAAATTATATTATTGATAATATTTTTTATAAATTTTATAATTAAATTTTAATTTCCTAGTAAACTTAAATGTAAAAAGTTTTTTAATATTATCAGGTCCTACTATCAGTTGTGAGCATTGGTTTCTGTGCTAAGCTGCCACCATTTCCACCATCAAAGGGTGCCACTTATTTGCCCCCAGGACACGGTTCAGGGGTTTTTGGCTCTGGATCACCTGGTTCAGAAGGTAGTAATCGGCCACAAGCAGCTGCTGATAGGAGTGCAGCCATTTTGAAACTCGACCAAGATGTAGGCGAACAAGGTAAGTTTTACTAAAAATTCCGGCAACGTACTTGCGATCCTACTGGCTGTGTGTCCCTGGTACAGCGGTATCGCTCAACATAAAAAATATCTATAAATATATAGTATGTATGAATATAAATATTAGAAGTTTTATAAATATTAGTAGAATACTCAGGAGATTGAAACTTTAGTATACCATATATATTCTAAAGTTTTATTAGTTTTATCATATACATTGTATAGAATAGTATTTTAGAAATAACTACTGTGGATAATTAGACTAGGCTTATTATTTATTGTTTTTAATATGACGTAATTACGTTTTCCTACCTAAATATATTTTAATTTATTCAAATTACAACACCGGTAGGAACCCGAACTCTATATATATTCGTTCCTCACGACTGAGGAAGATAACTAATCGATGAAAGCAATTAACCGTGAATCACGACGGTAATCGAGAAAAAGCCTCCATAGTTATTAAATTTACACTAAAAACCTTTACAAGGTTCCGACAACGCATAAAATAGTAGTCCATTAATTATAGCATAACGTTATTAAGCCCATACAGAAAATAAAATAGCTTCCCACCATCAGTATGCTTAATTATAGAGTAATTCATGAAATTATTTGTTTAATTATTTCAATATAGCGTAATACAAAGTAGCTCCTTATCGTCTGTTCACTTTAAGGACAACACTGATTCCTCGCGACGTTTTGCGAACTACAACTCGTGTACATTCTATCTATGAATCGATTTCAAGTTAAAACAAACCTGAGCGTGAAGAAAAATTACATTTTTATCAATAAACAGACACTTTTCTAAACGTATTGTTATTTAATTTAAGAATAATGAACATTAACTTTACATAATAAAACAACGCACAACCACAAATACAGACACAAAATGAAATGCCAGTTTGACCGATGAATTCATTTATCGATTTACGATTGCACATACCTTCCCTATTTTTATTTTGTCTCTGGTTTGAAAGCATCTTTGTTTAACTGTTAAATACAATTCGGAAATAATGGACTGTTTTTTTTAAATATTAAAGATTCGAATAATTATTGCAAGGCCTATGGAACCAGCGTAACTATTTGTGTGCTTGAAAACACACAACTCTTTTTATTCTCGATATGACATTTTGCAAAACTATTCACAGTCAATATATGATTATGTTATTTAGTTCATGTGAGAACTAAATAAGTCTAATAACATCATTTTAATTACAGTATTGTCATCTCATTCCTTACATCACAGCGTAAACAGAATTTCACACAAAGATATTTATTTATTAAAGCTCTAAAACATGTATGCTAATATAACGTTACAAATTTTACACACAAATACATCAATTGAATTATAACATAAAAGACGCAGACTGGCACGGCAAAAACACAAATATAAAAACGCAAATTTAAACTAAAACTAAATAAAAACTTAAAACTAATTAGAAGAGTAATAAACAAAACTACGTTAAGTAGGAGGATTGTTGTGATATACTTAATTTCTTTATTACTACTAATTTAATTAAAGATCAAAAAGTTCTTCAATTAAAAGGGTACAATTGGGCCAGCAACGGAAACCAAAGATCATATAAATGATTTTACATGAATTGTTTTAGTTTTTTAATTATGTTTCTGTTTATATTCCTTGCAACATAAGGTAGATATTTATATAAATTCTAGGTTTTCGGTATTCCTTTGAAACCTCTAATGGAATTCAAGCTGAAGAGGCTGGAGATATGTCGCAAAGTCATGGTAGTTTCTCATACAAGGGTGATGATGGTAACACGTACAGTGTGAGCTTTACTGCTGGCGAAGGTGGCTTTCAGCCCCAGGGTGCCCACCTGCCAGTGCCACCACCAACTCCACAAGAGATCCTCTTAGCATTGGAGCAGAATGCCAGAGATGAGGCGGCTGGGATCTTTGACGATGGTATGCTTTATGATAATAAAAATCTAATGGCGCTATAAATTTGAAAATAAATTCAATTAATTTTAACAATTCTAATACTTCTTAAGAAATTGCTATAGAGAAAATATCAGGCGCAATTTAACTATAAATTACTATAACAATTTTTCGTCCATTACATATTTAAAAATTATGTAGTTATTTTTATGTAAGCTTTTCATATTTATAAAAAGACTGACTTATCTTAGATAGAATAAAATATGTTGTCTCTAATATAAATTATCAAAATATACTTTAAAAAATCATATGAAATTTGATCTTACAGAATTTGCTAACGATATGTAATATTGCGTTTAATTTTCTTTTTGTAATTACAGGACAGTACCGTGCTGAGAGCTCAGGTTCATATGGAAAACAAGGCGGCTTTGGTTCTGGAAACAGACAGGGCAATTTTAAACCTAACTCTGGTTACTCATACTAGAATTGGTATTTCATACAAATCTAAAAGTTAATAATGTAATAATTTTCGGTAATAAATGTATGTCTTGAAGTAAAATTTTCTTTGTATTATATATCCCTTACAATTATTTGAACTTGAACGTGTTACTTCAACGCTCCCGCCCAGAGGTGAGAACAGTACAGTAAGTTTATAAGGTTATACAAGTATAAGCGGTGACCCGGAGTGAAGTATCGTTTCCAGCACACCATGATTCTTAGAGGATAATTTAGCCTTTCAGATACTAAGTAGCTGAGGCTGTAAGTGAAGTGTGTTCCAATAATGTTGATACGACGCAAGTGTACGACCGATCAAGATAATAATTTTACTTTACAATAACAAATTCGTCCGTATTAAGCGACACATTCAAGCGGTAGAACATATATCACGCAAAAAAATTTTTATAGAACAGGACCAACTTGGGGGCAAACGGGCAGGTCACGGGGACCTCAAACGGGTGGTTTGTGTGGTGGATACCGCCGCCCATGCTCACTCACAATGCCAGAGGGCTCGCAAGTGCGTGGCCTTTTAAGAATTGGTACGCTCTTTTCGAGTTTTTCGTTCGGAAATACTTCAGTGGGCAGCTGGTTCCAACATAAAGGTGGTGCGCACCAAAAACTGCCTTAAAACGAACGACGGACGTCGAGATGATACGGGTGGAATTTCGTATTCGGCCTCGACGTCTGATGATGAAACTCAGTTGCAGGTATTAATCCGAATAACTCCTTTGAACACTCTCCAAATTTTTAAAGACAAAAACACTATTGATGTCGTAATCATCTATTAGAGGTAAAAACACGTAATGCGATATCATTAGACGCCAGCAATCAAAACTTAGCCTTGACTTAGTTACGAATCATAATACGTATCATGTTAATGTACTAATAAGACAAAAATATCCAAACTTGATAATAAAGTTCATTGTTTTTTTATGTACCTACATGAAAATATAAGAAAATTTAGTACTTAGGACAAAGAAAACCTTTAAGGAGGTTTCAGTGATTGATGTGAAATTGAGGCATAAACTTTTTGTTATTTCGTTAAAAATTGTGTTCCAACTAGGTAACTTTAATAATATTGTGTGTTGGGTTTGTCTACGGGCCTTCCGCAAGGATTATAAATTTACTGTATTAAGTATAGGAGCATACCTACTAGCATAATTGTTATTTTGTTGCATACTAATGTTTACCACAATAAAATATATTTTATTCCTTACTTGCTGTTCTATGTCTGGACTTTTAAAAATCTAATTTTGTCAAATGGCAAATTTGGTGCAAAACAACAAATATTGTAAAGCCAAGGTTTAGAAATATTTAGTGCGTACTAAATGAGTCTGTCAACATTTGAGAAGTTTCTTTAGCTTTCTGCACAATTATCGCAAATACTTTTTGATAACAAAGGATTTATTTTTCAACGTTTCGAAAGTAAATTGTACGATGGAGATGTACAGTGCCATCTATGATTTGACGTCCTAACGTCGATAACAATTCTAGTATTTTTAAATAAAGTTTTTAGAAAAATCGTAAAGAAAAGATACCAATCGGAGAAAGTATTGTAGGGTATAAAATTGTCATTGAATAACCTTACTTATAAAAATAACATAAAGGTGGAATGCGGATTAGTGATTAGTCAGTATTTAGTGATTTCAGGTTTTGGCTCATAATTTATATCAGGCGCAAAATTATGCTATTTTTTCCAGTTCTGTTTAAAATGTCTCAAGTACAAATTAGCTACGGGATATTATTTTGTGTACGTACGTCTGCTAGAAGCTGGAAAAACGTGTTGATACATAATTTTTGAGCCTGATAAAAGTTTAGAGTTAATGTTACAGATAAATTAATTTTCTTGTCTGCTCTTTTCTGTAAAATCTCTGGTAGCTCAAAGATGCTTTAAAATATTATTATAATAGTTATTTCACTCTAGTATTTTAATTTTACATAGAGTCCATGGTCCACAAGGCGAAGTCTAACGTATTTTTATTTGGACTGTAGGCAAACAAGAAGTGGTATGTTATTTAACATGACCCACAACACCTGTCGCGTTGCTGGCCATTCAAGTTATTAGTTTCAAGAAAACCCCAATGTCGTATTATTTTTTTTACAACTTAACTTAGAAAAGATTCCTTTAATTTGGATATTTCAAAAATCGAATACACACACACAATACATACACTGGAGTTATCTCTATGACTACAATAATAGTAGTTTCACTTAGGAGGGTAAAAATAAAAATAGGTTTACAAAAGAAATTGATTTTATTCATAGAATAAATATTATTTCGATCACTGGATCAATGACTACAATAGAGTATAAGAGTATTTTCTATCACATTTTAATAATAATTGAAATATCACGATTCGGAAGCCTCTTTTACATTTAGATAATATGTGTAATCCTTGTTAATTTGTGAAGTAAGATAAAAAGTGGAAATATCTGGGTTATCATGAGCACGAGAGAAGAGTATTCAGTTGAGAAGAGGAATGAGAGAACAAAAGTACCACAGAACCCTACAATTAAAAATTTCTTAATTCAAATAAATGTCAGCTGTCAAAATCGAGTGACAGTTGAAGTTGTCAAGATCATTAGACAGTTAAAGACAAAGAATATTGAAATGTATAAAAGTAATACCACATAGTATCTAATGTATAGCTTTTAAGCTTAACTAGTTTAGAAACGTTTGAATCCAGCGGAAGCCTGGGCGCGAGCGTAGTTCTGTTGGTAGGCGGGAGAAGCTGGGGCTCCACTGTATTTGGCAGCGTTGTATTGACCTGTAATAAACAGTATTGATTATAGAAATTGAAAGGATAACATATGAACTTTTAGCTTTCTTAAAACTATGTTATTTGATATACGACAAATGTATGCATTAGTGTAATATTTCTTAATGTTGGTACGTATGTGAAGTTAGAAGTAATGCCACGATTCAAATAGTAATTTTTTAAGTGGATATTTAAATCAATCCAAAATAATAATACCGAAAATCGTACTATACAGAGAGAGAGTATAGTGGGCCCACATCATTGTAAATATAAATTATCTATGAAATTTTACGTTCACGATGAAATAAAATTCTTGAAACGTGTGATTCTGTGTCGCGCTATCAAAATTACGAAACATCAGCTATTTCACGTGAACTTTAAATCCAAATAATTCATGAACCGTCACATCGTATACTTAAACTAAAACGAACTTTATTCTATTGAAATACAGTCTAAAATCTTCTGTTCGTAGATTTTAATATGTTCAATAATCTTACAAAAGAGTAGTGTTGCGAAGTGTTCTGAAGAGTTATATGTATTTTACACATATAAATTGTGACTAAATTGATTAACGATATAGTATTGGCAAAGGGTTCATAAATAGCATCTAGATGTTACACTTTAAACAGATATTACTAAAGCGACTTAAATCATTGGAAAGGTGACATTATATCATAATTATTCTGCAGAAACTTATACATATTTTTGAATAATAAGTGATTTGCAATCCTTTATATATTAGTATATGAATCATTAGTATGTTATAAAGAGTAAAGATTTTCATGATTAGGTACACTCAAAAATGCTTTATCCCTGAAGAACAAAGGCTATATCCAAACAAATTAACAAAAAAATGTCCAGTTGAGCAAAAGAATAGACCGCTAATCAAGTCGTAAGAATTACCCTTCTCCAATATGTTACGGCCTATTATTTTGACTTCTTAGATTGACTATAGCAACAGTTATGTCTTACCGTCATCGATGATACCAGCAGCCTCATGACGAGCGTTCAGTTCCAAAGCCTTAAGGATGGCTTCAGGAGTTGGGGGTGGGGTAGGGAAGTGGGCGCCCTGGGGTTGGAAACCACCTTGGTTGGCAACGTAGTTCACGGAGTAGACCTGGCCATCATCCCCGGTGTATTGGAAGGCACCTTGAGCTTCGATACCGTCAGCCTGAAAAATTCGAATAATTTATGAAAATTTGTATTTTATCGAACTCTCAGTTAAGGAATAACATCACTAATATACGAATATATTTGGTCAAGTCAAGTTAATAGAAAAAAAATATTGTCGATAGATTTTTACGGTAGAATAAAATAATTACTATGTCTGCAACCTCTATTAATCAACATTATAGATTTAAAAGTCAAAAATGCAATTCCTAGAAAATTTTGACTCTTTAAAATCTTCCGGTAATGATTGTTAGCTTGAGCATTTAGTCCGAAATTAAACACTTTAAAATTTTATTACGATTTTTCAATATAAATAAAAATGTTTTATAATATGCAAAGTTGCTGGAATGACCTAGTCAAATGAACATATAAAGAATCTTGTAAAGATCCCATTGTTCCCACGATTACAAAGCTGTGTGTTTTCTTCAAAAGGATTGATTTCCAGTTCAAATATAAAGCTATAATGGTAACAAGTTAACTTTGCATCACACAATTAGTTTAATTGACCAATAGCTATTGTATTTTTATTCTGGTCACGTTTTTTTTAAACTGTTCATAACCACACACCAACTCCATCGATACAGAGAAACAGCGAATTAAATTCTTATCACAAAATTATATTCAATTTCCAATAACATTATTTACCTAATTGAGAGTACGTTTCCTTATAAATAACCTGTATTTTTGTCGAATTCACATTCAGTCAGGAATATAAGAGAGCTAGTCTCAGAAATATAAACTTCTAAAATGTTTCTGTTAATGGCTGGCAAAGTTCATCATCAGATTGAATGATAACTAGTCTAGTCCGTAGAATGAAATCTATTAAAAACATGATCTGTTTTAACTGTCATATATCTGTAATACTATATTTGCTATGCTATGCAAAATATCGCACGCGCTATAAAAAGGTGTGCACAATCTTAAACGACGCCTTTATATCCTTGAAACAAAAACCTATTATGATTTATTGCGAGAATTTACCAACTTGATACTTAGATTACAGACAATACTGAGACTAGGTCGAATGCTTTTTATCTGAGGCCTTTAAACTGATAATTTTATTAATTGCATATATTTTTTAATTACATTTAGACGAATAATAAATTAGTAGCTCGGTTCTAGGTTCACGATTAAGTCCCTAAAGTTTCATGAAAAACGTAAAATACGTATGTCCCGTGTGGTTTCCTTTAGTCCCCATTTGTAAGCTTGAAATAATTTATTAGCTATATAAACCTTGGGTCAACGTTCTGACCCAAAATCCTAACCTAGTACAACAAACACTATTAACCTTCGAAAATAATTAATCACATTGACATATAGAATAATGACGACACAACTAGGCATAATTTAAAATAAATTATGTTTAATATACGTCCCTTGTGTTACAATACATCACAAAATGCTAAGGTTGTGTAAATCGACATTTTGTATAGGTCGCAATGTGGTCAACTTCAGAGATTGCCTATGAATTATAGGAAATGGCCTTGGGGAGTCTAGGTCTGAAGCGTTCCAAGTCAAGCGTTCGATAAACGATTTATAGGCTTATGATAAATTGTTTGACGCCTCTTTAATGCTCGGATCGCGCTTTTACTTAAATTGAACGCGCTAAGGATAAGACGTTGCTATTTTGTACTATTACTGATATTAGATTTTCTCAAATGTGAATCAACTGATTTTCAATATATTTTCCTTGAACTTTTTAAGGTTTGTAACAACTTTATTTTCCAAGAAAAGTTATTTCTAGCATCGAAGCGGTAATTGCATTATTTACCTTACTGCTAAATTTACAAGTATTATAGTGATTTTACATTTGGCAAATGTAATTAGAGGTAATAATAATATTATTCACGTTTATATTATGAAATATGTCTCCTATTTTTTGAGTTTGATTGTCGCGAATCTTCTAATTTATTTCCCTTGTATATATTGCTTGCTCAAATATGAACATAGCTAATAAGTGTCGTAAATTTGTGCTTCCGTACTATTGAATTGTTTTGATAAAAAATTATATATATCATATAATTTTTCCTTGATTAGCCTAGAGCCTATTTCGTGCCTTTTAATTGTACGATGTTTTCATTATAAATACATAATACATGTTGTCACAAGGTATATTATCTTTTTGTACTGTGACATTCATCTAAAATATTTGTCTACGTTTACCCCATGAATGCTTCTTTAGGGTGGTAAAAAGTGGCGTCAATTTAGGGTCCAAACTAACTATTAATATATAGAGACCACCAAGAAAAATCAGATAAATACCAATATTTTTTTGCAATAAGTATACAGTTATAATCTTTTATAACGACATCGAAGGGACTCCTCATATTGGGTCGTAAAAACCGATAGTCGTAACAGCTGATGACGTTGTTATCAAGTAACTAATTCTTTTACCCGACGGGACCTTTGATTTTGGTCAATATAACTGGTATATTGTTCAAAACGATGTCGTCGTAAACGGTTTTGACTAACTATAATATTATTGATATTAATTAAGATCTAGATTGCGCTTTAAGTCCTTAAAATTGTAAAAGTACGTACGTGTACTAACGTACGCTATATATAACACATACCTCACGACCCTGCTCTTCAGCCTTAATGCCGTTTTCGGTTTCATAGTTCCATCTGTAGGAATCCTCTTTGACATCAGAGTCTAGAGCGATGATTCGCGCATTCTTTTCTGAGTTGGCTTGTGGGCGGTTTGAGTCATAACCTGGCAGGAGAGCTGCAGCGGCGAAGCCGACGAACGAGGCGATGATAAGCTGGAAGAGATTTTTTATGTTTATCAAGACAACAAGGGTAAATAAACATTTGACACATGAGATAACATAAGTAACAAATATTTTGTTCTTTGATCATAACATTTTTACTATGGATAGTAGTAGTGATATATGTATGTTTTTTTTAAATCTTGGTAATTTATTGTAAATTTAGCATTTTTGATAACCATGTTACTGAATTTGTATTTTCACGTGAAATATATATTTTTACATCATAATTAACCAAAAATGAGTTATTAATAGACTTTAAAAATCCAAATAATTCATATGACTGAATCATTTTCAGCAATTAGATATTTCAATACAAACTGAGCAGGTCTGAAAGAGATTTTAATTATCAAAAGATTACATAACTGTTATTATCCCAAATAGCAGTAATCTTTATCCAATAATCTCAATAATGCACTTAATATCGAAAAAAAATGTATAAGAATTGATGATAATGAGAAACTAATAAAAGTCGATTGGCTACTCACAACTTGCATGTTGAATGTGAGCTAGGTCGAAGTTGAGACACGAATGATGACTTGTTTCGCCTCCTCTCATATTTATACATACGATTCGTTACAAAATTTATACTAGATTATAATGAAACAGCTTTTCTCAATAAATAACTGAACTTTAGACAGTTTTGCGTAAGTTTTTTTATGTGGGCTTATACTAAGAAATTGTAACCTTGAAGATGGCACCTACGTGTCAAAGGCTAGAAGTTTTAGAAGCGATATTGGTAAATGCCATACCAGATATACTTTTAAATAAATGTACGGGATTAAGTAACACTTATACTAAATTGTTGTTGTTCCGTCACCAATTAAAATTGCAGAGAAGAAATACATTAATATTTATATATTTTTAAATTGCAAATTTAATTTAATACTTGTATTTTGTAATCTAGTTTATTGTCGTTTATTTTTATTGTATTGTTTCTTTTCTATTGTAATGTTTCCCTTTAAATGCTTTGCACAATTGTAATTGATGCACATTCATGTATTGCGTTTTTCGTATGTCGTGTCGTTAGTGTGCCTTTTTAAAATAAATAAATGTACTGGAATCCATACAGCCCTTTAAATTGACATACAAATAAACATATATATTAGATACAAATTCAATAAAGCATTATTCTTAGTAAATATTTTATTTAATTTCCATCTGTTTCTTTTACCAATTTCTTCAATGGTATCATTTTTCTACCTTATTATGAAAGGTTACAAAAGATCTATGATATAGTGGCTAGCGCATTTTGCCTGAAAATTCCCATATAAGATTCTTGGTTCTATTACCAGAGAAATAATGCATAATCATCGGCATACCCTTAAATATCAATGATCGCGAAAGGTTGTTTCCTCACTAACTTGCTCCATGGCTTTTAGTAAATGCAATTCATAATGTTCATTTTTAAATGTATTAAAATGTATTTAATTATAATTATACAACAAAATATTAAAATTTTCTTAACCTACAAAGTAATAATAAAAATTATTTAAAAGAAAATTAAAAAAGTTCGGTCCCTGTGGCAGTGTACCTTTAACGCTGGCAGCGTTTCCTCGCTGTATTGCGATACGTCTTATTCGTTATTCATTATTAGTTTAATTCAATCAAACTATTAAGTAATAATCATGCTTGGCTGGTTGGATTTGATAAAGGTCAATGCTACACGCCCTAATTTAAGTTGAATTAAAAAAAAAAAATCGCTAAGATATTTCCATTAGGACGTTCTAAATACACATCTAATAAAGGATATTTTTGTCTAAGGGTTCATATTCAAAACTCAATGTTCCTCTTTCAAATCACAGACTATAAATATATTACAACAAGTATTAGAAAGAAGGTTTTATGCTGTTACAGACTACACATGGTATTTAACCACTAAGTCATATTATATTAATAATTCTAGAAAGGGCAGGTGGATGTCATCGTATCATCTGTTGAAACAAAAGTTCAATGTCAGCTTTTCCATTCACCTAGACCATAGTGATTATAGCCTACGATAGATTTATTAATAGGATACTAATACTACTGATTAGAATTCCGGGATTCTTATATGTTATAGATAAAATTATTGTATTTTTAAATATGAAATGATATCAATAAAGCGTCTTACTAAATTAAAAATTACCAGTGGCTATTCTATCCTTGCTCTTATCAATTAGGCAAATAGGTGATAGGCCTGACAGACGCAGTCAGGCATGAGCACATAAAATGAATGGGCTATTGGTACAAAGCCAGGGTTCGAGTTCGGGTTTGCTGTTTACTAAATTTAGTAAAAGAGTACAATAATTAGAATATCGATACATTAAAAAAACGCAATCGTATTTTGTTTCATTGCTTATCCAAATTAGACTTTTGGTAACACTTTTATGAAGGCTGTATCACACTCCTTTTCTTCAAATATAACGGGGGCCAAACGGGAAGGAAACTCAGCTGAAGTTAAGTGATAGCGCCGCCCATGGACACTTACATTGCCAGAGGTCTCGCAAGTGCGTCGCTGGCCTTTTAAGAATTAGTACACCATTTTCTTGAAGTGCAATAAGTCGAATTGGTGCGGAAATACATCGGTGGACAGTTGGTTCCACATAGTGGTGGTGCGCGGCAAAAACTACGTTAAAAATGACGTGCGGGTGGAATTTGTGAAATGATAAAACTCAGCTGCAGATTTATGCCGACCAACTCCTCTGAACACACTCCACGGTAAATGCGGTAGAAGATGCTCTCAGCTCAAGCGGTCTTCTAGCTTGCTAACATACTTTAGATTTCTTTTAAATACAGAAAAGCTGCACCATGGCCCGTGTATATACTTAAACTTACTTTTAAATTAAATAGATTCTTATTTCACCACACTCTTCAATGCATCGCGGCTCAGTGTTAGCTTACTGTAATCCAGCTATCAGCTGTACTATAAATGCTACTATGACTATTTATATTTATTCAACACAAAATAAATCTACATAATATAAATAAAATAAGTATGCATCGAGGAAATGCCACAGGGACCAAACCTTTGAAATTAGTTTTAATTTTGTATTTATCAATTTTTAATTATTTTAATTATGTAGACTAAAACATTATATTTGTGATATATGCAAGCGGATTGGTTTTCTACTTTGTTCAACATTTGATATTTACCAGTCAACTGGATTAGTAGACGATTCTCAGCCTTGAGAGATGCGTTAGAATCCCGCTGTGTAGCATTGGATATTCTTTCGTGCGATATCAGCACGTGTATGGAATACATCGTGAGGAAACGGCCATACGATTATACGAGGACAAAAATATTTTTTTATAGAGAAGAATTACCATTGAATAAGATGCCAAGGGTGAAAGGGCCACTGGATCCATCTAACATCATGTATAAGATTAACGACGTTAATATAAAAATAAATCATATTAAACAATAAAACATAAAAACTTCAAAACTCGAAGGAGCTTTTCATTTATTAGCATACTAATTAAAAATTAATTCAATGATATTAAATCATAGCCAATCAATAGTTTAACCATAAAACCTTGTAAAACCGGTAACATTAGGTAAAGTCTGTCATCAGATATTTAATCCGCCTCAAAAGGTTTTAATCTCGTTAAATTAGATCGTAAATAAATACATCTATTGTATTACGATAACCACTGTGAGGTCAAGGGTCAAATTGCGAAATGGTTTCGTATGACCCACGTAAATATCTAACACCTGAGGCGGTCCCTGTTTCTAGTTTGGCGGCTTTTGTAATGCCATGAAGTTAAAAAAATCGTGATAGAAAATGTCTTTCAAATGATGTATTAATTTAGATAAATAACAGATGTAAAGAGCGTATGGTTTTCTCGTTTTATTCGAATTCCTACAGCCACCTTTTTTCAAATGTTTCGTAGAAAAATACTTTGGAACAATGTTATTATCTAAGGCAAAAGGCAAGGATAAATAATAGGTCCCTGGCCCTAATTCTCAAACCAGGGCGATAATCTGTTCGATTTTTTTAATGCCATGACTATGAGTTGCTATGACGCTGCTATAAAGCTTAAGTTTGGTTCAAAGTCGTACAAAAACAAAGCATAATAAACTATACTAGCTGATCCGGCAAACATCGTTTTGCCATGTATATTATTTATAATAAAATAGGGGTTGATTGTAGAGGGGTGAAAATTAGGGGTTGTATGTATTTTTTAATGCTGTATCATAATATATAATAGATAATAAAAAATATCTAAAAATTAAAAAAAAAAATTAGGGGTTGACTACCCTTAGAATTTAGGGGGATGAAAAATAGATGTTGTCCGATTCTCAGACATACCCAATATGCACACAAAATTTCATGAGAATCGGTCAAGCCGTTTCGGAGGAGTTAACTACAAACACCGCGACATGAGAATTTTATGTATTAGATTTAAAATATTTGAGAATATCAAACGATTTACACAAGATTTTAATCGCTACGCTGCAACTGTGCCACTATTTAGCATATTATATTCTTCCATACGTAAATCACAAGAACAGGGCGCAATCTTGACCGACCTACATAATTAAACCTTTACGCCCGTGGGAATTTAATCTTTGCACTGTTAACGTTATTTATTTTTTTAATATAACACTGGTACAAGTACTCAGATATACTTCAAAAATACATGACTTAATTTTTTTTTTAATTTTTCTGATAACTGGTGTGGCATTACCTATGAGAAAATTTCGACTTGACGTCGACTTTTGGGACACCCTGTATAGATAAATTATAACCAAATTAGTTACTATATAAAAAATAAATTTTCAGATTTATAATATTTTTTTGGAACTTTGAAGATTTCGTCACAATAAGGTACATTATTTAGGTTTGTTTACTAAGTAAATGTTTTTATTTCTATTTAAGTTTGCATCTTATTTAATATTTTAAATTTTTGAATACTAAACGAATAAATAAACCGACTTGTAATGATAGGTATGATGTATCATTCGCCTACACCAAAACTACCGATTCGATTTTGTTAAATCATGGTCTGTGCGGTTAGTTTTTACAAGTTTTAAATAAAACTTTTAGAGATAACTCTTAAAAAACACATATACAAATATAACTTACTAGAAAGTAATAGATCCTTATATTCAAATAATAAATTCCAACAATAACACATACAAGTCAAACTAATTAAATTATAATAGGCCGTTGCCAAATAAATTTAACAAATGATATTTAATGAGTTATATAATATGTTTCAACTCTTGAAGCATCTGTTTGCGATAACAATGCATTGAGGAAATGCCAGATTGAAACAGCTTAGACGAAATCTTAACTTTAGGCTATTTTAGATAACTTTCACTTCGCAATGCGTCTTGCGTCTTTGTAAGTAATACCTATCGTAAATGTTTATTTAAAGCATTATTGTTTATTATTTGTTTCTTATATCATATATATACTTCAATGTGTGACACACTTTTTGGCTACATTGTAAACCGAATGTTTTAATAACCGCTCTGCCAACAATTAGTATCCAAGTCCAAAGAAAATCCAGTGGCGCCACAACCTTTTAGGTCTGGGCCTCAACCTTTTGTTCTGTTTTGTGATCATTTGCTTTTCTAATAGGCAAGTAGGTGATCAGCATTTTATGTCTGACTCACACGACTTTTCATAAACATCGTACGAGCGAGTTTTAAATGCGGGGGTACAGTTGCTTTTTTTTTTTTTTTTACTTGGGGAAATGCATTGCGCATACCCTACCGCGGTGCGACTGCTTAGTGCGGGAGGGTTATGTGGGACTCGCGAATGTGCATACCCACTAAAACCCCAAGGCGCCACCAACAATCGCCTTAGGCGGGATGCGGTAACAGCAGAGCCTTATCCGCTTCCCGACATGCGATGCGGCAGTTGTGTCCGCCTCTCCCCGCCCATTGTTGATTTGTGAAGATACTTGACACAGCAAGTATCCTTCACAGATCGGGCCATACGCTTTTAGGAATAGCTAGGGGAGATCGGGTCCAGTGCTTGCAGGGATGGATCACCATCCCTTCAACAGTAGTACAGTTGCTGATCGAACCTATGACCTCTGGGATGAGAGTCGCATCCTGAAAGCCAACACTGCTCCAAGGCGTTTAAAAGTTAAATACATAACTAACGTAGGTTTTAAGGGAATATTTTTTATGAATTCTTTTATATAATTTATGTAATAAATAAGATTTCTATCGAGGTAGTTTATTGTCGGTTCTCTGGT